TTTCACCAAATATCAACCCAAACACCAAAATTAACTATTTTGGCACAACATGATCTTATATTCAAGCCTCATACTCGTTTACCTCATATTCATCAAAAGCCCTATTTTCATTTCACACTCAAATCCTAGATTTGTTCAAACCACAACCAAATCTCATCATCTATACATAATAGCAAATAACTAAGCTAAAAACTATATTAGAGTGTAGGAAATCCCTACCTCAAGCTTGAAGAGGAAACAAGCAAAAAATCCAAATTTTCGATTTTGCCGAATTTTGATCTCCATCGATCAAAGTGTTGCTCTCACCAAACTCTTCACTTTGACATGAATGCCATCTCCTTTATTTACATCCTAAATGCAGTTTCTTTGTGACAATTAACATCATTTGGTAAAGCAATGCACTCCCACCAGCTTCTCTTGTATGCTGCTGATATCGGTTTCCATGCCTCCAAAAGCAGAGAAAGATTACAGCTGTCAGTAGTGCACTTCCCTTCCATTTCAAGATTAGCTGCTTTTGATTTCTTGTACTTTAAAATGGTGAACGAAACCACCTTGGCAGCTAGGAGGAAAATGTCATTTGTTTCATTAGCATGTTGTATAAATTTTAGAAGTGCCTCCTTATTTAATGATTTTGATCTTGCCCCTGTACAAAGTAGAGAATGAAACAAGTCCCAATTAGCCTCCTCACATAATTTACTGCAGTAGTAAGATTCTCTACTTCCACCTGGACAAGAAATAACTAAAGGCAATGAAAACTGTTTTGAATAAGGCAAAACCAATTCACCATTCATCAATGATTCCATAATCTCTTTAGGAAGAGGAGTTCTATATTTAGGACTGCTGGAACTACATTCTTTAGAGCTTCTGTGATCTACTAATTTCCAAAAAAACAAATTTGCCCGCTCCTTTTTATTTAGTGGCCTCTTTCACAGCACAACTTTGATCTTTGCAACATTACTGGCCTTGTCTTTCTCTACAGCAAACTTTTTAAAAGGTTGTTATCAGGCACAGCATGAACTCTACCTGTTTGCTTATTATTTGCAAGGTATGGCTCAGTGTCATCAAAGCTTCTGCCCAATAAAGCACCCAAGATTGCATCAACAAAACAGTGAAGCAACACATCACCATCAGAGTAAGCTTCGCAGCCTCTATCGTGGGGGATATCGATGCCGCTGATGATGAGAGGGTATCTAGGTTCCAATCTGTGGAGATCGAAGCCATACCTGGCTCGGAAAGGCAGAGAATTGGACGGAGTAGCAGCGGTCTTCTTCGGCTCAACTTCCACAACTGCACTAGCGGTTTCAGCCACTACTACCGCCGCCGCCGGTTGTGGCAGTGATCGGACAGAGAGAGACAATCGTTTGGCGTTGGAGATGCGAGAAGAGAGAGAAGAAACGGTGTGTGGATTTGTAGAGTAGCTTTGTTTTGGAATTGAAGAGGAAAAATAGAGAGGAGTGGTGGTCGTCGCCATTGTTGCAAACAATTACAGAGCCTCTGTGTGTAATGCTCATGAGTGATGAGAAAAAAAAAGGTTGTAACTAAGCCTCCGTTTGGGAAGTGGGTTGGCTTTTTGGCTTTTTGGCTTTTTTGGCTATTTTAGCCTGGGCTAAAAAGCTTGGTTTGAGAAGGGCTTTTTGGCTTTTTGGCTTTTTGACTTTTTTTTGTGAGAGAAGAGTGTAATGATTATGGGTTGGATGTGATGTTTTGTTTGTTGTGGCTAAAATAGCCTGTTTTGTCTTTTGTGGCTATTTTAGCCCCAACCCACTTGCCAAACACCACCTAAGAAGTGAGAGAAGGAGATATATTAATATTCAAACCCCTCCTCCTACTCATCATACCCCACGAGAGCGAGACAAGAGAGTGCATTATTTTGTCTTTAATCATTCAGTAATGCTAGGTATCATGAAACATTTTTCATGAAAATAATCATGAAAGGTTTGTGACTCTTAGATTACATTTAGAATAAGGCACCACACACTAATCAAGATAATCCAAGGATCATAAATTTTTCATGATCATTTTCATGACAAAATTTTCATGACCCCTAACTTTTCCCTTAATCATTTTCTTTCACCGAAAGTGAGCAACCCTCTCAAATAATTTTCCACCACAACATTTCTTTATTTTATTTTATTTTATTTGGGTCGTTACATAAATTTTTGGATAGATGGATATAGATAAAAATTTAAAACATAATAACAACTACTTGTTATGTTTTAAATTTTTATACTATATGTGAATTGGATAATTATATAAATTACATGACATATTTAATTGAACGATTATGTAGTTTGGAATTACTTGTGGATGAAAACTTATAATAGTTGATTTTAATTAAACATGTTAATTTTTGGCTGATTTATGTATTCTGTTGAATGTTCATGATTCAGTTGATTTTGTTGGTTTGAATGATTCTTTCAAATTAGAAGTTATATTAAATGGTTTCGATTGATTATTGTATATCATATAGGTCAAATGGAATTCTTTTTATATTTTATTTATATTTTGATAAAGAAAAAGAATTGATTTGGTGACCAAAATTTGGTTTGGTTTTTCCTCTTTTGGCAACCAAGTGATTAGTCAGTGTTTCACCATTCACATTTCGCGACCAAAATGTTGGTAGATGAAAGGGTACATTTGGCGACTAAATAATTAGTCGGTAAAATTATTAATTTTGGCAACCAAAATGTTTGGTCACGAATAGGTCTATTGTCGACTAAAGTTTTAGTTGTGTAAACATTAATTTTGGCGACTAACAATTTTGGTCGGGAAATGTGACAATTGGCGACTAACATATTTAGTCGGGAAAATATCACTTTTGGCGACTAAAGTTTTTTAGCTACAAAATGGATTAGTCGCGATAATTATATATTTAGCGATCAAAAATTTAGTCGGCAAATAGAATTTTTTCCCGACTAAAAAACTTTTTAGTCGCTAATTACTTTCCGCGACCCTCAATTGGCGACCAAAATGGCGACCAAAAAAATTAGTCACGGATAACTTTTGCCGACCAAAAATGGACTTTTGTCGACTAAATTTTTAATCGGCAAAAGTGCGAATTCCTGTAGTGTAGACAAATAGATCCAATGCTCAAATCTCACTGTGTACCATATAACTAAAAATATTGGCATGTGTTTCAATTTAAATTTTTAGATGAATTAGAAAGAGGTATATATATAAACATGAAACAAATGAAGACGAAATGATATGGCAATGGATTATTGGACTTTGATTCTTTCCATTCTATATATATAATGAAGAGATTATATATTTAATGTTTATAAAATAAGAATATAAATTTATAATTATTTTAAATTAAAAATAATAATTATACTTACCATTAGATGATATAATGGAATTTATTCATTACAAATATGTAATGAAAATGATCACAATCCTTTATATAACATGTAACCTTACCTCTAGCTGCAGCTTCTGCTTCTTCTTTTTCACTATCAGATGAAGCCATGAGCACTTGAGTGGATGTACTTTCTTCTTCTTCTTCTTCTTCTTCTTCTTCTTCTTCTGCGGCTGCAGCTTCTGCTTTTTCTTTTTCACTATGAGATGAAGCCATGAGCACTTGAGTGGATGTACTTTAGTTTGAGATCCTTGTACACAACTAAACTTCTTCAAAACTCAATTCACTAGCTAAATCCATATATGTACAGCACCCAAAAAACTCATTTCTGTTTGGGGATTATGGAATAGTTTGATGTCCATATATATAGAGAGAGCAAAGAAGAAACCCAATTCTTCTGCCAAACGATTTAATAAATTTTGAGTAAATTACACTTTTCACCCCTATAGTTTGAGTTAAATTTTATTTTAGTTTCTATAGTTTTAAATTAAATAATTTGATCCTTACACTTTAAAAGTAGTTTCAATTTGGTCATTTCATCCAAATTGAAAATTATATATAATTAACAATTATGTAATGCTTATCAATTTTCTAAGTTGTACATATAGGCAAAATTAACACTAAATTAAAACAAAACTTAAAATGTAGGGACCAAATTATTCAAATTGAAACAATAAAGACCAAAGTATAATTTAGATCAAACTATTAAAGCATATCTAGACTATATTATTTTCCATATTTGTTAGGTTTTCTTATTCTCATGATTTATTGATTAGTGTTAGTTGTTATCTATTCCTATTATACTTAGGACTATTGTATTCTTGTACACCTAGGTTTCTTGGCCTATATATACATGCTTCTACTATTGTAATTGATAGATTGAATATATATAATACATAATATTTTCCTCTCTCTCTACTATTTTAACAATTAGCACGCCATATAAGTCTTATATATAGGTCATCTCTTATAATAGTTACAAATAATATTATTATAACATTATTCAATATAATACAAATTTCTCTCTCTCTCTCTCTCTCTCTCTCTCTCTCAGATATTATAACATGGTATCAGAGCTATAGGTTAAGTTATTGGTGTTCTTCGCCTTACCGGCGAGCTGCAACTTTGCCTTGGCTACTCGTCGGACCTCAGTCCTATCTGCTGTCTCACCATAGTGGCCAGACTTTCTTCAGCATCATCGCCTTCACTCCACTACATCTCCCAACTCCAGCATTTCCGACATCTTTGCTGCCTATAAACCTATCCTTTTATCAAACACATCAAACCCTTTCATCACCGCCTTGTTACAGCTATAGCTCCGACCATCACACCAGCTACAGCTCCGACCATCGTCACCATCTTTCACTGTTGCCCACAAATCTATAAGCTCTAGCCATCATGCTGACTTCTTTTCGGCCTTTTCCTCCCAGCCATCATGCCAGAAGTTCCGGCCACCTTCCTTCGTCGTTGCTCAATTGAAAAGCCCAGCCCACGCTTCTCCTTAAAATCCAAGTATTAAAGAGAAAGAAAGTGGAGCCTTATAACCAGCACATATGGGACAATTTCAACTGATGTAAGACACATTCCAACGCACCCTCATGGACCACAATATATAGTAGCCAGACAAACGACACACCACTCACAGGCCCAACCAAGCTCTGATACCAAATTGAAAAGTGCAGCCCACACTTCTCCTTAAAACTCAAATATTAAGGAGAAAGACCACAACATATAGTAGCCGGACAAACGACACACCACTCACAGGCCCAACCAAGCTCTGATACCAAATTGAAAAGTGCAGCCCACACTTCTCCTTAAAACTCAAATATTAAGGAGAAAGACCACAACATATAGTAGCCGGACAAACGACACACCACTCACAGGCCCAACCAAGCTCTGATACCAAATTGAAAAGTGCAGCCCACACTTCTCCTTAAAACTCAAATATTAAGGAGAAAGACCACAACATATAGTAGCCGGACAAACGACACACCACTCACAGGCCCAACCAAGCTCTGATACCAAATTGAAAAGTGCAGCCCACACTTCTCCTTAAAACTCAAATATTAAGGAGAAAGACCACAACATATAGTAGCCGGACAAACGACACACCACTCACAGGCCCAACCAAGCTCTGATACCAAATTGAAAAGTGCAGCCCACACTTCTCCTTAAAACTCAAATATTAAGGAGAAAGACCACAACATATAGTAGCCGGACAAACGACACACCACTCACAGGCCCAACCAAGCTCTGATACCAAATTGAAAAGTGCAGCCCACACTTCTCCTTAAAACTCAAATATTAAGGAGAAAGACCACAACATATAGTAGCCGGACAAACGACACACCACTCACAGGCCCAACCAAGCTCTGATACCAAATTGAAAAGTGCAGCCCACACTTCTCCTTAAAACTCAAATATTAAGGAGAAAGACCACAACATATAGTAGCCGGACAAACGACACACCACTCACAGGCCCAACCAAGCTCTGATACCAAATTGAAAAGTGCAGCCCACACTTCTCCTTAAAACTCAAATATTAAGGAGAAAGACCACAACATATAGTAGCCGGACAAACGACACACCACTCACAGGCCCAACCAAGCTCTGATACCAAATTGAAAAGTGCAGCCCACACTTCTCCTTAAAACTCAAATATTAAGGAGAAAGACCACAACATATAGTAGCCGGACAAACGACACACCAATCACAGGTCTAACCAAGCTCAGTGATTTTTATTTTTATTTTTTATAGATATCTAAAAAGGTCCCAAAATATTATTTCGCCTTAGGCCCCCAGAAACTTAGGACCGGCCCTGCTCAAGGGTGTCAGTGTAATTTACCCATTTGAATGTTATGGCATTTAGTACCATAACATTTCCCAAACAAAAATGTTAAGAATTCATTAAAAAAAATTATTAAAAAATTTGTTTGGGCATCATGGATTCCGTTTTGATAATTTAAACTGTTCATTTTGTCGGACATGTCATATATTTTATCCACATAAAAAATTAGGTCGATCTAATAATTATAACTTGTTCAGTTTATTATTTTTGTCATCAATGAAATGTATGTTTTATTTTTAAAAAACACAATCGTCATCCATTTTATTAGTGAAAACACACGGTAAATTAAACAAGTTACAGTTATCGGATCGACCTTTTATTTTTTGTGAATGAAATAAACGAAGTGTCCAACAAAATAAATGATTCGAATAATCGGAACAGAACCCACAGACCTAAACAATCCCTGCAATCTAGATTTTGAACTAGAAAAAATCCTCGTCCTAAAAATTTTACCCAATACGTAATGATGCTAAAAATCTTACATAATAACACATTTAAGTATGTAATTATTATGTAAAATGGAGAAATTACAAAAAAAAAAAAAAAAAAAAAAAAAAAAAAAAAAACAACAACAACAACAACAACTTAAGGACGAACTTTATAACAGAATAAATCAAGAATTTTTAATTTTATCAATTTAATATTTTAATTTATTTTTAATTTAAATTATCACTTATTTTTATGAAGTAAAATTGATAGGAAAAGTATATTTTAGTTGTTATACTATCTAAAATCCCGGTGACTCTAAATGCACTCCAATTTTTTGGTTGAACACCCCATTTTTAATTTTTTTTTTAATACCATTTCCAACCCCTTCAGCGGCACCCACCAGCCCTTTTACGTCATTCACCATCACTGATACATCATTGCGGTAACAAATGGTTTGTTGGACACCGATTTTTCTTAAATTTTGGTTTAATTTTTATGTGGGACCTATGTGTTAAAATTGGCAAATTCATGTGACAACGCGTTCTTTGACGTATAACGATTCACGTCGTATATTTGATTGTTCAAAATTATTATAGGATGAATGAGAAATCGATACCAAAATGAACTTTATAAAAATAGTGTCTTTGATGAAATTTCCATAAAGGTTGGAGTTAAGATTTGTCTCACATTGCTTTAGTAGGCAAACTTGATGTGGGTTCCTTGGGTTTACAACTAGAGGAGGGCTCCAAAGGATACCTAAGTTTTATGGAAGGGTGAGATTATAGGCAAAGTGAGTTAAACCCAAAACAAACACGCGCGCGGGTGTGAGGTTGGGTTAGGCTTGTCCAGTCCAATATTTATCTTTTTGGGCCAAAAATATTTGAATTTTTTTTTTACCGAAAATTAAATTCTTACTGTTTGAAATTTGAATTTCAGTTTGAAATTCCAACTTAATTCTGAAATGACCCCAACGTTTCTGAACGTTCGCAGTTTGGTCCCTTTGCACCTCTTCAGTATTTTCTTCCAACCGAACAGATACACTATTTGTTCAAATTTAAACCCGAACAGGTATTGTACCTTTTCAAATCTGTTTGAACAGGTTTGGTACCTGTTGAAGTCATTCTGAAAAGCCATCAGTTCATCTATAAATAGACAGTCCCTCATTTGGATTTTACATTTAATTTTCGTTCTTCTTTTCTACTTTTACATCCTATATTTTATTGCATAAATTCTTTATGAGAAAGAGTACAAATACAAAGTGTGTTCATAGGACATTTAGTTTGTAGTGCTACTACTAAATTGTCGTTGATTATTTCATCTTGGGAGATAGACGTCCATAATCTGTTAGCACCCAAGAGATGACGAATCTGTCTTAAGGAGACAGTGTAAAACACTGGATTTGATCATCCTCAGAAAATATTTTCGGTAAGTATTTTTTTGTTCTTATTTTGTTCCCTTCATCCTACTCTATTTCCAATTTTTGTTTGGTTTTTGTAATTAAATAAATTTTGAAAAAAACTTTCTTTTTAATTTATTCTTTTTTATGTTCTGTTTGTTACTGAGCACACAAACGAAAATTAAATTACTACAATAAAGATTGTTTAACAATCGCAACATCCCATCTCCTCAACTCGCAAAATACACCCCCAGCGCCTTCTATTTCTATGAAAGATAAATATCAAACAACATTCGTTGTTAAGTTAATTATCATCCAAAATTATAAAATTACGTTAATAAAATTCAATAATAAAAATATATGTTATAAAGTTAAATTAGATAGGTAGGATTGGATGTAATTGTACTAAGCGATGACCAAGTAAGAGTGAGAGTGAACTCTAGCGCACAGAATCAAGTGTGTGTTAATGTTTATTAAAAGGGTGTGTGAACGTGTAAAAGTTATAGAATTATTTCTAAAGTATCATATGTTCGTACATTTTAATTAATTATTATTCATTATATTCTTTCATATTTCTCAATTATTTAACATAATATTTTATTTACTCACATTTTTTATCAATCACATATAATAAAATATTACGTATTTATACTCTCGACTACTCAATAATCACTCATGAATGGGTTTGGAGTCACCCAACTTATACTCATCTCAATGTCACACGCGCTATAATAGCATCTTTTGCGTCAGTTATGTTTGTTGTGTCTAAACTAAGACAAATACCCAAAAAAAAATTACAAAAAAATTAGGCACAAACCCACCATTCGAATCTTTCACGTCAATATACTATGGACCTTTAGAAGACTCCTTGGGCATGTTTGATTGGGTAGATCAGAGTATGGGATTGACATTATTAATTCGTGGGTCCAATTATTCTATGTTTGTTTTAACACTTTGGTTTAGGATTATTAATTCAATGGATAATTAATCCAACAAATTTGTAGGATTATTAGTAATAGGGTAGAGGTGAGATTATTAATCTAATAAATATTAATCCAATTGAATAGTGAATACCACACTAATTTAATAGGATTATTAATACTTCACTATTAATCTTGTGAATCAAACATGACCATTAGGTCCTATTTGTTTGGGGTTATAGAGAGGGGATTGGCATTATCAATCTCTTGGTATTACTAATGAGGGTGTTTGTTTTGAGAGATGGGGAGGGGATTATTAGTCCCTTAGTATTAATAGTCCCATTGGAAGGGGGATTGGTAAGGAAGAGGTAGAGATGGTATTAGAAAAATAGTGAGGGGATTAGAAATTTTTTTATTTTTTTTTATTTTTTATATATTGAGAATTTTTTTTAAATATAATGTTTAATTTTTTATATTTTTTTATTTATTTTATTATTTTATATAAAAATAATTTAACAATTTCTCACTATCAATCCCTCACCAACAATCCTCTCACTATCAATTCCTTCAATTTTATCTCCCAAAACAAACCAGCTAGATGCTTTATAAAGTATTTTGTGATATTCTGTCTCAGTTAGCATGTCTTATTTATATAGTTTCTTTCTATGTGATTGTGTTGAAATGCCAAGAATGAAATGCCAAATTATTTTTCGATGCTATAGAATAATTAAATTTTTTTTTTTGAATTGTGTACTATATTTGCAGAGATAGAGAACCATGTGCACGTTAGAGAAGCGAGGTGATATATTCTTCTTAACCATCACCGGGGACGATGAGCACCGCCTGAACCCTAACCTCATCGAATCACTCCGCTCAGCTCTTCGCAAAGCCCGAGAACAGTCAACTCGAGGCTCAGCTCTCATTACCACCGCTCGCGGCAAGTTCTTCTCCAACGGCTTCGATCTCGCATGGGCCGAATCCGCCGGCTCCTCCTCCGCCGCCGCCGCCCATGATCACCTCCACCACTTGATAAACCTCTTCAAGACACTGATTGCGGACCTAATCTCACTCCCGATGCCGACGATCGCCGCCGTGACAGGCCACGCCGTCAGCGGCGGG